AACAGTACAGATGAGACAGACAGTAACAACAACACAGTACAGATGAGACAGACAATACCAACAGTACAGATGAGACAGACAGTAACAACAACACAGTACAGATGAGACAGACAGTACCAACAACACAGTACAGATGAGACAGACAGTAACAACAGTACAGATGAGACAGACAGTACCAACAACACAGTACAGATGAGACAGACAGTACCAACAACACAGTACAGATGAGACAGACAGTACCAACAGTACAGATGAGACAGACAGTAACAACAACACAGTACAGATGAGACAGACAATACCAACAGTACAGATGAGACAGACAGTAACAACAACACAGTACAGATGAGACAGACAATACCAACACAGTACAGATGAGACAGACAGTAACAACAACACAGTACAGATGAGACAGACAGTACCAACAACACAGTACAGATGAGACAGACAGTACCAACAGTACAGATGAGACAGACAGTAACAACAACACAGTACAGATGAGACAGACAGTACCAACAACACAGTACAGATGAGACAGACAGTACCAACAGTACAGATGAGACAGACAGTAACAACAACACAGTACAGATGAGACAGACAACACCAACAGTACAGATGAGACAGACAGTAACAACAACACAGTACAGATGAGACAGACAGTACCAACAACACAGTACAGATGAGACAGACAGTACCAACAGTACAGATGAGACAGACAGTAACAACAACACAGTACAGATGAGACAGACAATACCACAGTACAGATGAGACAGACAGTACCAACAACACAGTACAGATGAGACAGACAGTACCAACAACACAGTACAGATGAGACAGACAGTAACAGTAAGACAGACAGTACAACAGTACAGATGAGACAGACAGTACCAACACACAGTACAGATGAGACAGACAGTACCAACAGTACAGATGAGACAGACAGTAACAACAACACAGTACAGATGAGACAGACCAATACCAACAGTACAGATGAGACAGACAGTAACAACACACAGTACAGATGAGACAGACCAGTACAACACACAGTACAGATGAGACAGACAGTAACAAACAGTACAGATGAGACAGACAGTACCAACAACACAGTACAGATGAGACAGACAGTACCAACAACACAGTACAGATGAGACAGACAGTACCACAAGTACAGATGAGACAGACAGTACCAACAACACAGTACAGATGAGACAGACAGTACCAACAGTACAGATGAGACAGACAGTAACAACAACACAGTACAGATGAGACAGACAGTACCAACAGTACAGATGAGACAGACAGTAACAACAACACAGTACAGATGAGACAGACAGTACCAACAACACAGTACAGATGAGACAGACAGTACCAACAGTACAGATGAGACAGACAGTAACAACAACACAGTACAGATGAGACAGACAGTACCAACAACACAGTACAGATGAGACAGACAGTACCAACAACACAGTACAGATGAGACAGACAGTACCAACAACACAGTACAGATGAGACAGACAGTACCAACAGTACAGATGAGACAGACAGTAACAACAACACAGTACAGATGAGACAGACAGTACCAACAACACAGTACAGATGAGACAGACAGTACCAACAGTACAGATGAGACAGACAGTAACAACAACACAGTACAGATGAGACAGACAGTACCAACAGCACAGATGAGACAGACAGTAACAACAACACAGTACAGATGAGACAGACAGTACCAACAACACAGTACAGATGAGACAGACAGTACCAACAGTACAGATGAGACAGACAGTAACAACAACACAGTACAGATGAGACAGACAGTACCAACAACACAGTACAGATGAGACAGACAGTACCAACAACACAGTACATATGAGACAGACAGTACCAACAACACAGTACAGATGAGACAGACAGTAACAACAACACAGTACAGATGAGACAGACAGTACCAACAGTACAGATGAGACAGACAGTACCAACAACACAGTACAGATGAGACAGACAGTACCAACAACACAGTACAGATGAGACAGACAGTACCAACAACACAGTACAGATGAGACAGACAGTAACAACAACACAGTACAGATGAGACAGACAGTAACAACAACACAATACAGATGATACAGACAGTACCAACACAGTACAGAGACAGACAGTACCAACAACACAGTACAGATGAGACAGACAGTAACAACAACACAGTACAGATGATACAGACAGTACCAACAACACAGTACAGATGAGACAGACAGTAACAACACAGTACAGAGACAGACAGTACCAACAACACAGTACAGATGAGACAGACAGTAACAACAACACAGTACAGATGAGACAAACAGTACAAAGGAGACCGTTTGATTTAGACGGACAATGCAAGCGAGACTGATAATAGAGATGAAAGTGAAAAAAGACAAGATGGAGTCAGTCCTTTCATCAAACCACTATCTTGAATCATGACGATCCATCAGATTCGGGGGAAAAGGTGGGAGAAAGTGGTCGTGGTGGTGGAGGGTGGCAGCGATGGGAATGAATCATTACATTCTTAACACAGGGACCCACAAGGGGAGCCGTCACGATGACGACCGGCTGATAGCGGGCGACGAGCACCTGGGTGGGATAGGTGGGATGGTGGGGACGGAGGAGGGGGCGATGATGACGCAAGGATGGACTGAGCCCCTCGGCCCAGAAGGTACCTGGAAGCGATTACAAAACACGCGACTCGCCAACCACGGGGTCACGCGCACAGTCGATGACTCCATCGTTGGTTACCCTCGTTCATGGACCAGGGCCACGTTTCGTCAGGAGGCGGGGGAGCTTCCACAATTAGTTTTGTATATATTTCAATGTGGAGTAGGTCTTCGCCATGACCAATATAATGACTCAGTACATTGGGTTAAACTATTGTTTAATCATCTGGCCAAATGTTTGTCGTTAAGAACCCTGCACCACCCAACACAGCCAAACAAAATTCAACTTGTCACATGGTGTACATGCATTTAACAATGCATCAAAATTATTGTTACTGTTTCAGCTCAACTGAGCGGTGAGCCGACACAATAATAATTTGTTCGGCTACATCATTCTTATTTTATATCATTTGCTTTTGACGCCGGATTACAAAACGCAGCAATGTTTTGTAATTGTCTCCTGTAAGCGGAGTCTCGAGCCAGCTGGGAGGATTACGGGGAGGTTCATAATGGCCGTGGCGTTGCCAACTCAGCCGGCACTGATAAAAATGTGGGTGTGAATCCCGGTTCTTCGCGCCCAAACCTTGATGATACCCCTGGTTCTCAAGGAGTTGATGGTTCCCGCTTGGTCACAAATGACTCCAATCGATACCCATACATTCACATAGAGCCACGTAAGCTCGCACAGAGACCCACGGACTCGTATAAGACACCGATAGACTTGCATAGCCTGGGTTGTGATTAAACTGGGTTCCGAAGTGTCGTGGAGTTGATGGTATCAGCCAGGTCACCGATGGCTGCACATATATACCACCACCATCACCACATTAACACTTCACTGTGAACTATCCAGGGGGAAATTAAAACATTTCAGTTCGACTGCCATGTGTACCACTCGTGCTGACAAGTGGCCTCAAAATTAGTTCTACAACGTCTCCTTCAGGGGCATTCTTTGTTGTTCCGAACGTGGCAAGATGCACAATTGCATTATAATCGTAGAACAGTTATACAATGCCCGACACATTCAGGTTGTATTATCATCAATCTACCCCAAGCCTGTTTAATTTGTAAAAGTGCATCTTTATTGATTCTTGAGAAATGAACGGATAAATCTTCTTCCAACTGATCAATCTTCGAAATTGCACTTCAAATTAACATTCTAAACGTGTTCCTCATTCTGTACTGCCGTGTGTTTCACCGCACCGGAGTTCCGTTTCGTTTTTTTCTGGCTGTACTTGTTCTGACCCAGATCGCTTGAGAAAAAAATATCTTTGGACTCTCTCTCTGCACGCTCCCACCTGGTTTAAAATACAAAGTCAGTTACCAACACTATCTGTGAATACCACGCACAGCAAGCTGAGAACCTGGTGAACCCCAGCTCAATTCCCTGCCGTGGCTAACACTGTTGACCGGTTGATATCTCAAATAGGTCCCCCCGGTGGGTTTCCCCCCACCTTCCTTCACCAACTCTTGTGCCACACACGGTGCCACACACGGTGCCACACACGGTGCCACACACGGTGCCACACACGGTGCCACACACAGTGCCACACACAGTGCCACACACAGTCACCGACCCTTGTGCCACACACAGTCAGCTGCCACCGGGGGGGGGGGGGGTGCCCCCTTCTAAAACCCACCCACTTACTCGCCCAACCACCCACTCACCCGCTCACCCACCACACCGCACGTCATCACAACACATTCACCCACACACTCACCCATCCACTTACTCACCACACTGCACGTGACAACAACCCACTCACCCGCCACACTGCGATGACGTATATTATGATCATGAATAATTATTATGTCATCTTGTAATGTGCTTATTACAATTTAATCATGTGATTATTATAATGTAATATTGTAAAGCGCACAGTGTATTTACTCACTCTCGTAGAGAGAGAACGACTTCAGAGGCCTGACGAGGACCCACAGACAAGCGGGAAGGCAGCCAGGCGGTGAATCGGAGGTGGAAACCGGAGCACCCGGAGAAAACCCACACACATGAGGGGGCAACACTCGATCCCCGTACAATGTAAACAGGACTTGAGCCCACTTGCTGTACCGCCTTCTCTCGGTGACCCAGGGTACAGCTCCTCCTCTACGCCGACGGAAATGCATTTTCATTTCTGTGCGATCCACCAGCCCTCACTGTTGCCTCTTCCACAGGACTGGACCACAGGCCGCGTGCAGCACAGCCACCACCACCGCCACCACCACCGCCGCCACCACCACCGCAGCCCGGCTAAGCAACGGAGCACACAGGTGAGAGCGAGCACCCCAACCCCCGCCCCGCAGTACCTCTCCTTCTCCAGCTCCTCCAGGTAACCCGCGCTCCTTCGGCTGCCGTTGAGGCAGCTCCGCGGTTTGTGCCCACCCGCCCCGGTCGTGCCCGCCGATGCGGTGCTGCTGCTGCTGCCGCCGCCGCCGCCGCCCGCGGTCGGGCTGCTGTCGCCCGAGCGGCTCGACAGCGGCGATCCGTCGCCACCGTTGCTGCACAGCACCACCTTTGAGCGCAGCTTCACCCCGCCACGGCACACGCCCTCCAGGTCTGCGCCGGGCGGAAATGTGCGCACACGTATGTACAATGTTGAACTTCTTTCATACATATTCTTGGTTCTTTCAGTAAAGTCACGTTGAAGGGAAACAATAAAATAGAAACAATAAATAATAAGTCACGCTGAAGGGAAAGAACCGAGAATATGAATCACTGCTGTCACGAAAGCTTTAAATCAAAATTCTTTCATACAGTACGTAGCCAACCGAGATAATCAGAGGTGTGGGGGAAGGACAAAAAACTAAACACAAAAAGCAGTTCTAAATACATTTGTTTTCAATCTAGATGATGATTTAGAAGTGCATAGCTCCAGTGCCTTCCTAACAATCAGACGGAAGAGCGTTCCAGACGGCCGCAAAAGCGCATCTGAAAGCGCGCGATGCGGTGACCGCCTTTGTTCGATGGGCGGCCAAAAGCCTCTGCGAGGATGGCAAGAATGGAGCGGCGCGCGTCCTGGTTAATTGGCCGTAGCTGCGTGTTCACAATTTATTCTTGGGTCAGATCGCCATTGTGAGTCAAATGTGTTGTGTCGTACACCCTCCTCCACCCAACGTGGCCGATTAATAAAGCTGCCGTGAAACAAACGTGGCCGATGTATTAGTGCTTGAGCAGCACCGCCAGCGTTGTCGCTGGAGAGGGATCTACACTCATGGAACAATTGGGTGTGGGCGCTTCGCTGGTGGTTACAACCAGCGGTTGCCAGGATTGTGAAAATGTCCTCCAGTCGTCTTGGGCTGGAGGTGGTGAGGCAGGAAGTGGTACATGAAGTTTAACGTATTTGAATAAATTACAATGTTGTGTTAGATCATGATAAATTGTGTTAAAGGTTTGTATATATAATTACATGGTGATAGAGGTTTGTCATAGCTTCGACCAAATTTAATTTACACGATCTGACACAAGAAATCAATTATGAATCATAACATTGATTTCGAAAGGCTGCGTGTGAATGTTTTGGTGACTCGGGCCACTCGTGCAAATGAGTCTCTTATCCTGGCTGTCGTGACTTCTCAACTGGCAAAATAAAATCAACTTGGAACTTGCGTGCAGATTTAGTTTGCTCGTTTTCAAACCGTTGCTAAGCACATGGCCCAAAAGCCCAGAACGTCAAGTGGCCAGCAACAAAGAGCAAACGTATCAGAGTTGTAATAGATGAAGAGTATCGTGACACGGTCCTTGAATTGAGTGAGGTTATTAATGTCAGAGCTGGGGGGGAAGGAGACGATGATGGGAGGGGAATTCAAAAGTGGAGCAGTGCGAGGAAAGAAGCAGTCAGAGAAGTAAGGTGACCTACAGTGTGGCGAGTGGATGGGTGTTGTTGTGACCTACAGTTTGGTGAGTGAGTGGATGGGTGAGTGTTGTTGTGACCTGCAGTGTGGTGAGTGGGTGAGTGTTGTTGTGACTTGCAGTGTGGTGAGTGGATGGGTGAGTGTTGTTGTGACTTGCAGTGTGGTGAGTGGATGGGTGAGTGTTGTTGTGACCTGCAGTGTGGTGAGTGGGTGAGTGTTGTTGTGACCTGCAGTGTGGCAAGTGGGTGAGTGGATGGGTGAGTGTTGTTGTGACCTGCAGTGTGGTGAGTGGGTGAGTGTTGTTGTGACCTGCAGTGTGGTGAGTGGGTGAGTGTTGTTGTGACCTGCAGTGTGGTGAGTGGGTGAGTGTTGTTGTGACCTACAGTGTGGTGAGTGGGTGAGTGTTGTTGTGACCTACAGTGTGGTGAGTGGGTGAGTGTTGTTGTGACCTGCAGTGTGGTGAGTGGGTGAGTGTTGTTGTGACCTGCAGTTTGGTGAGCGGGTGAGTGTTGTTGTGACCTACAGTGTGGCGAGTGAGTGAGTGTTGTTGTGACCTACAGTGTGGTGAGTGGATGGGTGAGTGTTGTTGTGACCTGCAGTGTGGTGAGTGGGTGAGCGGATGGGTGAGTGTTGTTGTGACCTACAGTGTGGTGAGTGGATAGGTGAATGTTGTTGTGACCTGCAGTGTGGTGAGTGGGTGAGCGGATGGGTGAGTGTTGTTGTGACCTACAGTGTGGTGAGTGAGAGTGGATGGGTGAGTGTTGTTGTGACCTACAGTGTGGTGAGTGAGTGAGAGTGGATGGGTGAGTGTTGTTGTGACCTACAGTGTGGTGAGTGGGTGAGTGGATGGGTGAGTGTTGTTGTGACCTGCAGTGTGGCGGGTAGATGGGTGAGTGTTGTTGTGACCTACAGTGTGGCGAGTGGGTGAGTGTTGTTGTGACCTACATTGTGGTGAGTGGGTGAGTGGATGGGTGAGTGTTGTTGTGACCTGCAGTGTGGTGAGTGGATGGGTGAGTGTTGTTGTGACCTGCAGTGTGGCGGGTGAGTGGATGGGTGAGTGTTGTTGTGACCTACAGTGTGGCGAGTGGGTGAGTGGGTGGGTGAGTGTTGTTGTGACCTGCAGTGTGGCGGGTGAGTGGATGGGTGAGTGTTGTTGTGACCTGCAGTGTGGTGAGGGCGTGGATGGGTGAGTGTTGTTGTGACCTGCAGTGTGGTGAGGGCGTGGATGGGTGAGTGTTGTTGTGACCTACAGTGTTGTGAGTGGGTGAGTGGATGGGTGAGTGTTGTTGTGACCTGCAGTGTGGTGATGAAGTGGATGGGTGAGTGTGTTGTGACCTGCAGTGTGGTGAGTGAGTGGGTGAGTGTTGTTGTGACCTGCAGTGTGGTGAGTGGATGGGTGAGTGTTGTTGTGACTTGCAGTGTGGTGAGTGGGTGAGTGGATGGGTGAGTGTTGTTGTGACCTACAGTGTGGCGAGTGGGTGAGCGGGTGGGTGAGTGTTGTTGTGACCCGCAGTGTGGCGAGTGAGTGGGTGAGTGTTGTTGTGACCTGCAGTGTGGCGGGTGAGTGGGTTGTTGTCACGTGCAGTCTGGTGAGTAAGTGGATGGGTGAGTGTGTGACGTGCGGTGTGGTGGGTGAGCGGGTGAGTGGGTGGTTGGGCGAGTGAGTGGGTGGGTTGTTGAGACCTGCAGTGTGGTGGTTGAACGGTATAGCAGACTGAGTGTGTGGGAAGTTTAAGCTGTGTGCACGGTCCATGTGTGGTGCATGCACGTTACAACATAGTATGTTGTGGTATGTGCGTGTAGTATGGTGCACGCATGGTGTGTGCACTACGCGAGTGGTGGTGTGCATGGTGTGTACGTGGTCTACGCGTGGAGTGTATGGCCCGTGTGTGGTGTGAGTCACGTGTACATGGTCTCTTCAAGGTGTGTGTGGGGTGTGTGATCAGCAATGGGCCAACAAAGGGAACTGGGTTTGGTATTGGTCACCCACCCCTTCCTGTCCTGTGCAGGCCTTCATTAGGTGGTCGCAAACACATCTTGCCCCAACAATGCGAGGCTTTATGGGGGGGGGGGGGGGGGTCTTTGTCTAATGGTGTGTGTGGTGTGCGCGATGTGTGTGATGCGAGTGATGTGTGATGTGTGCGATGTGTGTGTGTGTGATGTGTGTGATGTGTGCGATGTGTGAGATGTGTGCGATGTGTGTGATGTGTGTGTGATGTGTGTGTGATGTGTGTGTGATGTGTGTGTGATGTGTGTGTGATGTGTGTGTGATGTGTGTGATGTGTGCGATGTGAGCGATGTGTGATGTGTGTGATGTGTGTGTGATGTGTGTGATGTGTGTGATGTGTGTGTGATGTGTGTGATGTGTGTGATGTGTGTGTGATGTGTGTGATGTGTGCGATGTGAGCGATGTGTGTGATGTGTGCGATGTGTGTGATGTGTGTGTGATGTGTGTGTGATGTGTGTGTGATGTGTGTGTGATGTGTGTGATGTGTGTGTGATGTGTGCGATGTGAGCGATGTGTGTGATGTGTGTGTGATGTGTGTGATGTGTGTGATGTGTGTGATGTGTGTGTGTGATGTGTGCGATGTGTGTGTGATGTGTGTGATGTGTGTGATGTGTGTGATGTGTGCGATGTGAGTGATGTGTGATGTGTGTGTGATGTGTGTGTGATGTGTGTGTGATGTGTGTGATGTGTGTGATGTGTGTGATGTGTGTGATGTGTGTGTGATGTGTGTGTGATGTGTGTGTGATGTGTGTGTGATGTGTGTGTGATGTGTGTGTGATGTGTGTGTGATGTGTGTGTGATGTGTGTGTGATGGGTGTGTGATGTGTGTGTGATGTGTGTGTGATGTGTGTGATGTGTGTGATGTGTGTGTGATGTGTGTGTGGTGTGTGTGATGTGTGTGATGTGTGTGTGATGTGTGTGATGTGTGTGATGTGTGTGTGATGTGTGTGATGTGTGTGTGATGTGTGTGATGTGTGTGATGTGTGTGTGATGTGTGTGTGATGTGTGTGTGATGTGTGTGTGATGTGTGTGTGATGTGTGTGATGTGTGAGTGATGTGTGTGTGATGTGTGTGTGATGTGTGTGAGATGTGTGTGTGTGATGTGTGTGTGATGTGTGTGATGTGATGTATGATGTGTGTGTGATGTGTGTGTGATGTGTGTGATGTGTGTGATGTGTGCCAGCGCACGGTTTACCCTTCAGACGATCGAGCAGGGCCTCGGGTGTGGCTGCCGCCGCCATCTCCAGCGTGTCTCCCTTCACGCTGCTCTGAAGCTGCTTGAGCACCTCCTGCAGCACAGAGTGAACGCCCAGGAGGAACAGGAGGATCATGCTCATCCACTCGCCGCCATCACCGCCGCCCCCGCCGCCGCCACCGTCGCCACCATCGGCACCACCGCCATCCGCCGGACCAGCCGCCGCTCCGCCAAGCCTCGTCGATGGACCCCTTCGCTGATAAAGACGCCAGCTGGCTCGGGCGGGGACGGGTCGTGGCTAGAAGGGACGGTGGGCGGCGGCCGAGGCTAACGACGCAGCGGTAAGCAAATGAGGGCAAGGCGCCCGAGTGGACGACCACCACCACGGGAGACCGCTCGGGGTGCACGAGTGAGATGGGTCGTGGCGTCGCAGGGCTGCGGCGGGACAGAGGCAGCGAGTGTTGGGTAGCCTTTGTCCAGCAGCGGATAGACAATGGCTGAGACGACGACGATAATTAAAAATATTAATGAGTGCACCTCAAACTCCCCGCAGGAATTTCCCCAATCGCACGTCCGGGAATCTGGGGCTGTCACACGGAGAGCGGTGGAGGGGGGGGGGCTCGTCCGAGCGGCGTCGCTTTCCGAGGTCTCCAGTCCTCCAGCCGAGTGCTCGCGGTGCGATGCCACGGCCGTTCTGCCACACGCGCCCAGAGATGGGCTCCTCGCAGGGGGGAGGGATTGGTTGTTGTCAATCTCTGCAAGTGACGTTGCCACCCTGCCCACGTTTCGCATCGGCCCCGGCCGTGTCCTTCACCCCACGCAGAAGGCCAGTCTCTTGTTGTTGCTTCCCTGACTATTGCACGCAAGCAGGCAGCAGCAGCAGCAGGCAGAGAGGTTTTGCAGAACGGGCGTCTCTACTTTGCATAAACTGTCGGTGAACGAGGCCAATTCATTTGTTTGCCGGACGCGCGGTGCGATCGGCGCCACAAGCACCGGCAGGCCCTCGACGCTCACCGCCGCTCGCTGGGTTTTGTCTCTGAAGAGGATAACGGGTTTTTTTTCTTTTCGCGTGGACACAACAGGTATGCAAATGAGGAGCGAGGGAGCGCCGCACTAATGCACGCAATTTTTGCTGATGGGGCAACTTCCCGAAGGACGGATGCAGCAGACGAGAGAAGAGCCTGCTATTCGACGCGTCGCTCGTGCGCTCGTGCAATTCGCCGTCTTGCAGATTAATGTTAATTGGATCCGCCCGACCGTGTCCTTAAGGACGCAGAATCACAGCGCAGGGCCCGGCGCACGTCATTTTATTTCGTGGATCCCTTCGACGAGGCTTGTCCCCGCACGGACTGGCAGCTTCCCGCGAGGCGCCCAGCGGCGAGGGCCTCGCCTCTTTCCCTCGAGCGAACGCGCGCGGCTCCCGGGATGAAGAGCGCCGCACGGCCGGCCACCACCGACGAGCTCAAACCGCCGAGCCCTCTCCGCCGGCAGCGACGGCAAAGGCACAGCGGTGAAGCGGCGTCAGCGCACGTCCTTGCAACTTTCCCAGCGCCGCCCCCCGCACCACCCCCGGCTGCCGCATTAGGGAGGCAGCTGTCGTTCTCGCGGCTCGACGGCCGGCGGAAGCTTGGCACCGATTGCCGGCTCGGCAAAATCCCTCGCGCCCTCCCTCTCTCTCTCTCTCTCTCGCTCTCTCTCTCGTTCTCGGCGTCACCAGCGGTGTCGCCTCGCGGCTGCCCGCCTGACCGCCGGAGCAGCGAAGAAGCAGCGACCGTGCGTCTCGCTCGCCGATGCGGCCAGCACGTTGCTCAAACGCAGGGCGCCCCCCGCCCCCCACTCTAGAGCGCACGCCGATGTAGACGTCTAATCCAGCCTATTCTGCCGACGAAAACGGCAATTGTGCAAAAGAAAATGCAAGTAAAAAATAAACCCCTACGTCGCCAATTACAGCGATTAAATAACATCACCGGCGCCGATCCAATTCCAATTCAAAGCCCTCTTCCGTCGGCGGCAGCGCCAAGGATCCCGCGTGGCAGGCGACGACGGCGCCGCTACGATTCCACACGGAGCCAGACGCGTGCCGCCATCCCCCCCGCAGCCGCTCTGCGCAGCGCGCCGGCGCTGTGCTCACGCACGCGCGGAGAGAGAGAGCCACTCCCTCACCCCCGCCTCCCGGAGGGCGCGGAGCAGAGGCGAGCAAGGAGCCGTGTGCACGCACGCGCTCCTCTTCTGTGCCACTCGCCCCGTTTCTGGCGAGACGGAGCAAGCGGCTGACATCATCAGAGGCCCGACGCTCGCGTGTGGGTTTATTTATTAATTTATTTGATGCCCCTGCATTAGGGCCGATCAATTATTAAAGACTAACAGAGGTGGTTCGTGACAATTGCATTGCTCGCAGGCTCTGGAGTGGCCGGAGCGTTGTCTCTGGAATGTAACTGGCAACCCCGCCGCACATGCTGCCCGCACAGCTGCCCGCACAGCTGCCCACGCTGCTGCCCACGCTGCTGCCCACGCTGCTGCCCGCACAGCTGCCCGCACAGCTGCCCACGCTGCTGCCCACGCTGCTGCCCACGCTGCTGCCCACGCTGCTGCCCACGCTGCTGCCCGCGCTGCGCGTTTATCTTCCATTTTGTCGAGGAGAGAGCGGCAGCGCCTTTGGCGGCGTGACATTTGCACCGCTCCGGATTGACACGGGAGGGGGCACACGTTATCGATGTTGTCGGCGCAGCTAAATAATTAACGCAGCCGAGCCATCGCGTGCAAACTGCCTTCGGTGGCGCGATGACACCCGATGGGAGATCAGGGGAACGCCGGCATCGCCACGTCCGGGATAGCGGGGACTCGTGGTCCACGCTAAGATGCCGCTCCTTCAACGAGCCGGACGCGTGAGCAACACGCACACCCACAAGTCGCCGCGGCGTTCAGGCACGCAAGACCGCGCCGACTGCGTACTGCCCGAGTCAACATTCTGCGGGATAATAAACGGCGAGACTGGCACCGAGACGGAAATATCTGCGACGATAAACAAGCGATTAACGCCACGTTATGAATGCGCAGCGGAGTGACGGACAAATCGCCCCAATTAACGGCCCTCCAGGCCTGCGCGTGCGTCCTCTCGATGCATCGCAGCGACCGGCTGGCTCGACAGCAATCCGTGAGCGGCGACTGCGGGCCGGAATAAAAACAGATCCGCTCTCAGCAGCGCACGGCGGCTGCACCCCGAACCGACCTCGGAGGCATCAGCGGCACTCCCGCTCCTCCACCACCGCCTACCCATCACCTCCCCCTCCCGCCAACACTCTACACTGCACCTACAACCGCACAGCAGCCGCTAAGTGAAATGGCTTCCTGGCTTTACACGTTAATTTGAATCACGGCCGTCTGCCGGTGTCACGTTTCTGAGATGCAATCCCTGCCTTCCTGCTCCTCCACCCCCATCACCGCCCCCGCCCCCTCGCCTACACCGAGGCTGCCCATCCCACACTCCGCACGCCCCCCACCACCACCAACTCACGAGACCATCAGAAGCAAAGGATTTCCCCCCCACTGGGTGATGCCCGAGCAGACAATGCCACATCCTACTACAGTGAGGGATAAAAGTATTTGATCCCCTGCTGATTTTGTACGTTTGCCCACTGACAAAGAATGGCAAGTTTATTTGAACAGTGAGAGACAGAATAGCAAACAAGAAAATCCGGAAAAACGCATGTCAAAAATGTTATAAATTGTTTTGCATTTTAATGAGGGAAATAAGCATTTGACCCCTTCTCAATCAGAAATATTTCTGGCTCCCAGGTGTCTTTTATACAGGTAACGAGCTGAGATTAGAAGCACACTCTTAAAGGGAGTGCTCCTAATCTCAGCTTGTTACCTGTATAAAAAGACACCTGTCCACAGAAGCAATCAATCAATCAGATTCCAAACTCTACACCATGGCCAAGACCAAAGAGCTCTCCAAGGATGTCAGGGACAAGATTGTAGACCTACACAAGGCTGGAATGGGCTACAAGACCATTGCCAAGCAGCTTGGTGAGAAGGTGACAACAGTTGGTGCGATTATTCGCAAATGGAAGAAACACAAAAGAACTGTCAATCTCCCTCGGCCTGGGGCTCCATGCAAGATCTCACCTCGTGGAGTTTCAATGATCATGAGAACGGTGAGGAATCAGCCCAGAACTACACGGGAGGATCTTGTCAATGATCTCAAGGCAGCTGGGACCATAGTTACCAAGAAAACAATCGGTAACACACTACGCCGTGAAGGACTGAAATCCTGCAGCGCCCGCAAGGTCCCCTGCTCAAGAAAGCACATATACATGCCCGTCTGAAGTTTGCCAATGAACATCTGAATGATTCAGAGGACAACTGGGTGAAAGTGTTGTGGTCAGATGAGACCAAAATGGAGCTCTTTGGCATCAACTCAACTCGCCGTGTTTGGAGGAGGAGGAATGCTGCCTATGACCCCAAGAACACCATCCCCACCGTCAAACATGGAGGTGGAAACATTATGCTTTGGGGGTGTTTTTCTGCTGAGGGGACAGGACAACTTCACCGCATCAAAGGGACGATGGACGGGGCCATGTACCGTCAAATCTTGGGTGAGAACCTCTTCCCTCAGCCAGGGCATTTAAAATGGGTCGTGGATGGGTATTCCAGCATGACAATGACCCAAAACACACGGCCAAGGCAACAAAGGAGTGGCTCAAGAAGAAGCACATTAAGGTCCTGGAGTGGCCTAGCCAGTCTCCAGACCTTAATCCCATAGAAAATCTGTGGAGGGAGCTAAAGGTTCGAGTTGCCAAACGTCAGCCTCGAAACCTTAATGACTTGGAGAAGATCTGCAAAGAGGAGTGGGACAAAATCCCTCCTGAGATGTGTGCAAACCTGGTGGCCAACTACAAGAAACGTCTGACCTCTGTGATTGCCAACAAGGCTTTTGCCACCAAGTACTAAGTCATGTTTTGCAGAGGGGTCAAATACTTATTTCCCTCATTAAAATGCAAATCAATTTATAACATTTTTTACATGCGTTTTTCTGGATTTTCTTGTTGTTATTCTGTCTCTCACTGTTCAAATAAACCTACCATTAAAATTATAGACTGATCATTTCTTTGTCAGTGGGCAAACGTACAAAATCAGCAGGGGATCAAATACTTTTTTCCCTCACTGTATGTAGGTCGCCCCCCCCCGCCACTCCGACAGCAGTGTTCAACCCACAGGGTGGGAACGCACGGTACCGCACACATCCCGAGGAGGAGAGTGCCTGCTATGTTGGCAAGCGTCCAGGGGCTGCGTGTGCATCGTTAAAAGGGGACGCGCTTATGTAGCATTGGCCGGCTTTACACGGTGCTGTTCGCGAGCGCGCCTTCTGGAATTGGCATGGTACGCGACGTAGTCGGCGGGGTGTGACCACGACAATGCGCGGCCAAATTTGTCTCTCCAATGATGATCTTTCACACGGCGTGCCAAGGGCTCTGTTTAAGGATTTTAATGCACTGAAAAAAAGTCGATTGTAAAAGTGGGGCTTCATCGATATACATCCTCCACGCAGCTCGTAACGATGCGCTCACTACCAGCACAAAGAGAGAAAGCAATCGTCGCGTTCGCTGCCTCCTTGCCAATCATCGGCAGTGCTGATCTTTCGACCAAGGTAAGCCAACACCGATTTGATTGCAACTTCAACCCTGACGATGACGATGCTTGAAAAGCCGAATGGGGGTTCACGTGAACTCACGAACAAACACCTCCTTGTGAAAGACCCGACGGCGTAAAAGATCCCTGGCTACGATCTTACGCCCTGAAGCTTCTGGGCCACGACCCCTAACCCCCATCATCTGTAACGCAAACCATGGCAGCAGCAGATGCGGATACCCGATGACAATTGCACAAATTTAAATCTTTCCGGTCACTGTGGTTACCCAGAAGAGAACCGTGAAACATAAAAACGAATCAGTGCTCGATTCACAAATACAATTACATTGCTTGCAGACTACAGCGGCCGGAGCATCTGGAATGTGACTTGCAATCCCGGCGCACAGACCCACTTCGCCAACACTGCAGGTCATCAGAGCCATTCACCAGGACAATTCTCCCGATGCAATCATCTGGCTCAGCCACCTCAATGTAAAAATGACAGCTGTCAACATCGGCCACGCAAAAAGAACGCGGAAAACGAAGGAAGGCGGTCCACCGATTGGCCAAAACGCCTTTGCTGCGACACTCGTTCATCGTTCAATCGCGTTTTAGATGTCAGTGCTGTTTTATAGGCCCGGCCTGGCTCAAAAAATAAATTAACAATACATATAACGCATTATAAACAACAACAACACTCACAGGCAGAGGGAACACACGGTGAGTGGCGCCACGGTGGCTAGGAGATGTTAATGACCTCGCCTGGTATACAGGAGGTCGTGGGTTCACTCCCAACCGTAACGTTTGTATAGTTGGAGTTAGCATGTTCTCGTCATAGTCGCGTGGATTGTTCTCCGGGGCCTCTGCATTTACAATGCGTCTTAGGGTATTTGGCTGCTAGAAATTTGCAATTGATAAGCCCCACTGAGCGCCCATAGCTCAGTGGGCCTTAACTGGTGAAATAAAATAAACAGTTCAGCTTAGAGTGTTCGTGTCACGGCCCCTGCCGCCGCCGCCCTTACAATTGGAGCACTTGCCAAAATCCTCCCTGTTACGGCCGCCATGAACGAGCACCGCAGACCATCTTGACAGGGCATGCCCCAGCGAGGGGTCCCTCGACAGCACGGGCAGCAATGACAAACGGGACGAGTTGAGCTCCCCGCCCCCCACTGCCATGACTCTTTGTTGCTATTTTGAGATCTGGTAAACACGGACGACTCGGGAGGCAGCACAAGGAATCTCACTGTGGCATTCTGTGCTGACACCAGAATCTTGTGACCGTCCTGTGGTGTCATGGTAAACCCACTGGTGTAATGGTAAACCCACTGGTGTAATGGTAAACCCACTGGTGTAATAGTAAACACACTGGTGTAATAGTAAACCCACTGGTGTAATGGTAAACCCATTGGTGTAATGGTAAACCCACTGGTGTAATAGTAAACCCACTGGTGTAATAGTAAACCCACTGGTGTAATAGTAAACCCACTGGTGTAATGGTAAGCCTGCTGGTGTAATAGTAAACCCACTGGTGTAATGGTAAACCCACTGGTGTAATAGTAAACCCACTGGTGTAATAGTAAACCCACTGGTGTAATAGTAAACCCACTGGTGTAATAGTAAACCCACTGGTGTAATGGTAAGCCTGCTGGTGTAATAGTAAACCCACTGGTGTAATGGTAAACCCACTGGTGTAATAGTAAACACACTGGTGTAATAGTAAACCCACTGGTGTAATAGTAAACCCACTGGTGTAATAGTAAACCCACTGGTGTAATAGTAAACCCACTGGTGTAATAGTAAACACACTGGTGTAATAGTAAACCCACTGGTGTAATGGTAAACCCACTGGTGTAATAGTAAACCCACTGGTGT